GGAAAGCCTTCAATAACATCCGCGAAATCGTCAAGCCAACAAGCATTTCTCACGTTTGTTCGTTCCGTTCATTAACCAAGAAACAAACTGATAGGTTTTTGAAGTACTGAGTTTTGTGGATTCGATACGGAAGTTTCCAGATTGACTCAGTGAGGAAAATTCAAGGCAAAATGTATGAATATGATTTTTGCTGTCCTGTTGAAACCGTTGCTCGTGTTACCCTTGTTTCTAGGATCTCATCATATTTTGTTTTTCCAGAATAGATCGTTAATGGTTTTGAAGGGTCAGAATAAACCTGCGCTCAAATCAAACTAATACAATTTCCTTCAGAAGTCGACTTACTAAACATATGGAGTTTCTACCAAATAAGAACTAAATTTCCCCACAAGAAACTTTTTCCAACCTTAAGTTTCTGGAATTCGGCGTATTCGGCTGAGTGTTTCTTCAAGTGGCATGCAAGTGTGCTTGTATGTGGTCCTTTTAAGCTATATGTACAGTCACCGATTATACACCTAGAACATTTCGAATGTTAAATACAGCAAAGTTTAGTTTCTGGGTTAAGGTCTGTTGGAGAAAATGCTACAAACCCTAGGTTTGTTGGAGAAGATGCTACAAACCCTCACCTGCTCAAGTTCTCAGCTTTATTGTAGACAAAATATTTCCAGACAGGTGTTTGCTTATTGGTGCCACCAGACCGTATGGCCGCTGCTGGATTTCGATGCCAACTCCAGTCATCCTGAAACCATTCCATCGTTCTTCTCACCTATAAATTCGCTACTGTGTGGACAAAACTCGTCCGCATAATTCACATACTTCCGAGAAAAGCTGGGCCGCAGGCGATTGAGCGACTGCAACAGCTCCTGGGATTGGTGCAGGAACGGGGGATGCCGGTACAGAGGGCAAGCGAGGTGGACGAGAGACTTCATCCAACTGAAAAAAGAGTAATCATGCTGAAGATGATATATGGCAGTAACCGAAGGTCTCTGAGGGACTTGTGCTCATTTCAGGCTTTTCATCCTGTGAATCCCGTCGGGACAAGGTGTTCTAGGTAGTTTGAGCATGATGAAGCAGTTTTCCACATGACATGCAGT